CTGTGTTTCAAACAGTGGAGAGAAAAGGCCAGTCCTTGTGTAGGTTGGAAGGTGGACAGAAAGGACGGTTGGGGGTCTGTTGTTCCTTAATTCTGGAAGATTTCACCCAGGATGCCTTCAGCCCCAATGTGATGGCCACACAATGATGCCAATGAACTGCCTCCAGCAACAGAATACATTTCCTCGCACCTCACAGTCCTTGCTGCTCGCATCCATGTCCGAAAGGGGAAGTTCTTAGGGGTTCTGCTTCAGCATATCTCAAGGACTAATTAAATCCTCATTACTGCCTTCTAATTATTCAAATACTATGGGATTACATTAGGAAAGTCCCTGCTGGCAAGGGTTAAATAACCTATGTTGATTTTGAGAATCCAGATCTGGTTCAGACCTTCAGAAAATCACCAGCATTAACATGAATGTTTAAATAGACACGACTGTGAAATTAAAAGGGAATTCAATTAGAAGGTTTTCGAAAAATTAATTCTGACCTCTCTACATCTGTCCGAATAAATAAGCTTTCTTTCAGCATTTTCACCTAATTGCTAATCCAATAAACTAAAAGGACATTTGTTAGTTTCATGAAGCTTAAGGTGTCACTGGGGTTAAAAATGTGGTAACTTTAATGTTAATAATTATTATACTTATTTATCTACTCAGATGACTATTCCGTATTCCCGCTAAGACTTCTTGAGAAAGAGGCCAATCTATTAATAAGCCATTTCCTACTGTTCTTTTTGAATTTCAAGACATATATGTTAAAGATTAAGAAATAAGGATAAAAGAAATCTAAACTTCTCACCCACCATTTTTTTACAGTTCATTTCAGTATTTTAAGGTTATCTGAAGTGTTCCTCCAATGCCTGGGTGGCCTAATTTACACTGCTTGATTTTTTGGCAAGGTGATTTAGTAACGATTCTGTATATTGCTATATGAGGCCTACAGAGAGATTTGGCCTAAAGTAAAAACCAGTGGCAAATGTGTTACTACAGAATACTACACTGAGGTTTTGACATTTTTTCTTCAAAATTTATGTAAGTATTGAAGAAGTAAAGATCGAAAAATCTGAACTATTCTTCTTTATTTAGTTAAAAGAAAGTTCCAGCAGCACAATACTAAATCAAGTTTTATACTGGAAAACAGATAAAAATGGAGAGGAGGTGATATAAAGAGCGGAATGAACAGCTAATGCTTTCCCTCCGTTTGTAACCTACGATGCCGTATCCATATTTACTTGCAGAAATACCTTCTATACATAGAAAATATAAAACTGTAGACACTCACAGTTATTTTCATCTATGTACAATGTGGGGACATGGATTTGTGACTGACGTCCTAAGACAAAACCCATTACCAAAACCACCAGATAACAAGACGACAAGACTAAACGAGACGGGGTGGGGATGGGAACTGCAGGCTTACAACGGGCAGCTGTTGGGAAATCTGGGCACTTCACCAAGCTTGCTGTCACCAGAGGTTTGCAGAACCTCTTAAACACAGGGTACATGTTTTATTAACCTATGCTTTTCCTGAATGGAAACACAGGGACACGCAGAAAAGAGCAGAGCAAGGGTTCCACTTCTTGAGCCTGGAGGGACTTAGGCTCCAGGGCACGGTAGTCAGCATCACTGTGCCCCGTGAGGACTCTGAGGGAGGACTCAGAAAACTGCACCTCCAGACAGAAGTACGTTGCATCATCTCTCTGTCTCTCTCTCATCTCTTATCTCTGTACGCATATGTTTCTAGATTCTTTGCATTAAAGAAACTGTCATCTCCTGTGGGTAGATTAAAGAAAGTATGTATACAGTAGAATATTACTATATTATCATAATCTTACTTATTAAAACAAATTAAGTGTAAAAAGAACTGTTCAATTTGGTTATTTTAGCGCTCAGCAGTAGAGAAGAAATGTCATTACCTTGTCTATCAGGGTCTATGGTTTTTGTGACATATCTTTTTTTAAAAAATTTTTCGAGACGAAGTCTTGCTCTGTTGCTCAAGCTGGAGTGCAGTGGTGCAATCAATCTCAGCTCACTGCAACCTCCACCTCCCAGGTTCAAGTGATTCTCCTGCCTCAGGCTCCTGAGTAGCTGGGACTAGCACATGCCACCGTGCCCGGCTAATTTTTTTGTGTTTTTAGTGGAGACAGGGTTTCACCATTTTGGCCAGGCTAGTCTCAAATTCCTGACCTCAGGTGATCCGCTTGCCTCAGCCTCCCAAAGTACAGGGATTACAGGTGTGAGCCACTGTACGCAGCCTGACATACTTTTTTTTTTTTTAAAGATGCTAATTTATTAATGTATCTCTTGGCCTGTTTCTTTCAGCACTTCCCTAAACAAGGAGGGTATGTACCAATTTTAAGGGTATAAATAAAGTTAAGTTATTTTCCAATATGGGGGAATCAATTTTGGGGACTTTCCTAGTAAGAGTTTCCTTAGATCTACTTTCCATTGTGTATGCTGCTGGTACACTCCAAATGATGGTCCAACACATGTTTTTATTATTGTAACAAAGCATTAAAGTGACTGTCATTTGCCATTTATCAGATAAACACCTGATCAAATGGCATTTGATCAAACGTTGTTAGGAGCTAACATGTCTTCCTAAATTTCAACAAATAATAAAGCCATTTTCTTTACAGCCTGGCTACCCAGCACTGGAGGAACTTTCACGCATGTAAGGCAAAGCATCCTCTAACATAAAAGTCATTAAAATAGAAAGTTTTCCTTGTCAGGGTGTTGCCTAACCAGCAAACACATACAAAAGGGAATGCACATAGCTTGGCTTTGTGTCCCCACCCAAATCCCATGTTGAATTGTGATCCCAAATGCGGGAGGTGGAGCCTCGTGGGAGGTGACTGGATCATGGTGGTGGTTTCTAAGGGTTCGGCGCCATCCCCTTAGTGCTGTCTCCTGAGCGCTCACGACATATGGTTGTTTACAAATGTGTAGCACCTCCCATTTTGCTCTCCCTTCCTCCTGCTCCTAGCATGTACGATATGCTGAATTTGCCTTCACCTTCCGCCATGCCTGGCAGTTTCCATAGGCCTCCCCAGCCAGGCCTCCTGCACAGCCTGCAGGACTATGAGTCAGTTAAACCTCTTTGCTTTAAAATGACCCTGTCTCAGGTGGTTCTTTATAGCAGTGGGAAAATTAACTAATACGGTATAATAATGTCTCTCACAGTCTTTCAGAGGAGGTTTACAGGTCACAGTCATAAAAATCAATTCATTTAGCAACTTAAAAGATTTATATTTACTATTTGAACAAAATGGTCATAACCACCCAGATTGTTATGTATCTGGTATCAGTTACCAAAATCACACTACATATAATAAAGGCAATCAAAGGAAGAACAATAATTATATGAACATGGTCATTTCCACACAGTGGTACCACTAAAAAGCCTAGATTTTGCCTTGAAAGCGTATCAGTTTAAGTGAAAAGCTGGAGTTAGCTAAGTTTCCTTGTTGTCCTCCTGTTCTTCACATCCGGTTTTCCACACTGCCCAATTTCTCAAACATACATCTGTTGGAAAAGGTTGGGTACGACAGCGTTTGAGGATCTGAGACAGTTTCCCTTTTTCTTCTTCTTAGTAACAAAGGCTACAATTTTAAGACTTTCAAATAAGGGACCTCTTACCCTTTAACACTTGTTAAAATAAAAAGAACAGTACCAGTGAGAGTGGTGCTACAGGGCTACGGGGTGAATCTTCATCTTGGTTCTGGGCCTGATACCCCCAGGCACCCAGTACAAGACAATTTCCTTTCCCCCTCAGTGACCCAACAATACAACATAGGCCAAAAAACTCACAGCCAAAAAAAAAAGGATTTTGGTGAGAATCCCACTTGCTTGGCACCAGCACACTATGAACTCTAGAATGCCTTCAAGATGACCACAGCCAGATGAGGGGTTCACACAGATCTAGCAATTTATGGAGACAATATGGAATGAAGGGATGATTTAGAGCAGATCACAGCAGAGAATTTAGGGTAACAGAGGCACATATTGACACCCTTATTAAAATCTATTTTAGTTTTTAATTTTTTGAGACAGGGTCTCACTCTGTCGCTCAGGGTGGAGTGCAGTGGCGTAGTCACAGCTCATTGCAACCTTAACCTTTCTGGGATCAGGTGATTCTCCCACCTTGAAAACCTATTATTGTACCATTATAAGGCAGTGGTTCTCAAGGTTTGGTCCTCAAGCCACTGGCATCAGCAATATCTGAGAACTTGCAAAAATGGAGGTTTTAATTTTATGTATTTATTTTTACTAAAGTGTAATATCTATAGCAATATCTACAAGTGTCTGTATTTTAAAAAATGGAGGTTTTAAATGTCCCAATTCAAACCTTCTGAATCAAAAACCTGGGGGTGGGACCCAGGAATCTCTTTTTTAACAAGTCCTCCAGGTGATTCTCACAAAGTTTAAAAACTATTAACTATTCCATTATTAATACATATTATATTATCAATTATACCTTAAACTATAATAAAAAAGTTAAATATGTAATGGTATTGGAAAATGAAAAATTCATTTCATCTGTATGAAACATTCATTTCATCACAAATTATGTGTAGATAAAGCAAATCTGTCTTTTCATTGACATTACTTTCTAAACATGCTGTGAGTTTTTAACATGTAAAACAACTGAAACATGGTGCTATGCGGACACATACATTCCTTGGGCCTTGAACTGTACTTTGATAAGACTTCACCCAACCTGCAAGAAAGCATCCTACCTCCTCTCCATATTTGTTGGTAGGGTTATTGTTTATTTCTTCCATCTGATAAGAAAACATCCTTTAAAAAATTATTGATAAGGAGGCACATAGGTAAGCAAACTCACACCAGCCTTATCACCTGAAAGCACTATCGGCATGTAAGACATGAACGGGAGACGAACCTCTTTCCTGTGGCATTGGTGACTGGCTCAAGGCGGGATGGGAACTGGATTCTGACTGGCTCCCGGGTGGCTGCGGAGGCATCTGACTGCCTGTAAAACACAGGAGGAGAAGTGGGGATGGGGGAACCCTTTGCATTAATAGTGCAGTCATGCAAAACCAAGACACAGCTACATTCAATTTTTATGATCATAAAAGATATAGCCCCAATAAAAAAAGACATAGCTCAGAGTGTAATAGTTCATCTTTTACCTGTGAAACAAAGAGAAAACATGAATAAACATATTTAGCGAAACACTTGCTGAAAAGTTGTTACTGAATGAGTTCCTGAACTCATACGAATCAATCTGCGGCTGAAATTTCTTGACACACATTTCTTCAATGCATATAAGAAAATGCAGGCCAGTTGGGCCAAACTCATCCTCCTGAATCTTACATGAGTCTCCAAGTGAGCAGGCATGAAGAGAGGCTGAAAATTACTCATGGTAACATCCAATCAATACAGTAATAGCAACAGACTTCTAAAAAAATCATCATTAGTCAATCAGAGAGTTAGCATAAATTTAGAAGACTTCCATTAAGAAACAAAAACCATACTATAAAATGTAGTATATATCAGTAAAGAAGGGACTATTATTCTGCATCTCTTTTGATCTTTATTGCTCACACAGCAATCGTATCTATTTAATTTCCAGTTTTAAATGTATGCTCCGTTTGTCTTTTCCAGATACTCTGTAAGCTCCTTAAGACAGGAATCTTACCTGTATTCCTTCAATCTCTCTCTTAGCATAACAAACAATAAATCACAATCTGGGAATATTATTTAAAGGAAGATACTTCTTACTATATTGATAAAAGAGAGCTAATGAGTCATGTGAAGACAGGAGACAAGATTTTGAAATTTAAAAATCGGAGGTAGCTAATGATCTCAACTCACGTTTTGGCTCAGAGGTTTAGATGCATTTTTAAGCCTAAAATTATAATGGAATGAAAAAGACAGTTGAATTTAGCACAGTCCTCAAGGCACTAGCTCTCATGACATGAGAACCATGCTATTTTCTCTTCTACCCTCCCGCTTTGCTCCAGTAAACTGGAAACACAAATACACTCACACAAGGCATAGTCCTCTGGTCTGAGACCCTGCTGGATCAGGCTAACTGCTCTGACCCCATCAGACTCACTGCTTCACAGTCATGTGAAGATTCAAAAGAATCACAAAGAATAGAGAAAACAATCAGTGTCCTAAAGATCACTGCCAATTCACCCCCATGGAGGCCAGGACACACTGAATACAAAGCCTGGTCTTTTATGACGTGCAATAACCAACCCTCTTGTGGTTCTATAAGCTGGGTCTGTGGTTCTGTAAGCCAGGCAGGACACAGTCCCGGAATCTCTCGGGACTATTGCTCTTTACTAAGTCTCATCATGGTGTATCTGTGACAGCCAGAGGGGCAGGAATAGGATTTTCAGTTTAGGTAACAGATATAAATAGCTGTTAAAATATTGCTATAAAATGATTGTTTTCAGGGGCTTAGGGTTCTTTTAGAGAAGAATGTAAAACTTGTTAATGTATTTCTGAGTGTTCCTGAGTGTTTAACTGCTACTCTCATTTTCAGATTAAGTGAAAACCAAAGACCTGAATTTACAGACGCTGAGAAATGTGCACTGTGTCACCACCAGAAGCCGCTTTTCACATTAGAACCATACCTAGTAGAATAAAAGACCTGGACAAACATTATAGACTTCATTAAGTATCCATTTCGTTTCAGACATTTGGAGTAAATTAGTATAGTACCAAATAATTAAATGTAGACTAAAAAACACTTAAAGTTCTGAACCAAAACAACTTCAAGGGTAAATACTGGTCACCAACTTGGCTACAGCTACAGAAGTTGCTGTGTGTTCACTGCAGGGCCACGTGCTTCCTATGAAATACCCTAAGGCTTCCGATCTATAGTCCATTTAGAAATTTAAAGCACTCTGCAGCCAAATACTGACTTTTTAAAATGTCACTGGGGAATCAGCTGCAGCAAGACAGTAAGTGCTTACATTATAAGGATCACTTCTGCATGACAGGCTGGATTCATAGACTCATGACAGTAAAAACAAACAGTAATTCTATGTGAACACAGGGCACCGTGGCTCAGATGGTGCACGCCCGAGGCACTGCTCTTATGCACAATATCTGAAGTAGAAATAAAAAAGGCTGTAAGAAATGCATCCCATGATTCATCCAATACCCACAGCCAAGCAGCACTGCTGGTTGTGTGGTGGAATTCTAACACAGATGTCCCTTTACGGCAATGAGAATATTCACATATTAAATTCATTCTGTTAGAGAAACAAAAGCTTTATCATGATACAGATTCACCCAAACCATCTCATTCATTTTCCTTTACTCCCTATTTTTCTATCCATCGTTTCATAACTACTAAGTCATAGTTACTAGGATTTAGTAACTCTAGTTACTAAGAAACAACTTGATCTTCCACAGGCGTAGTTTAAGCATTGTCAGAGCAGATGACAATTCAGAAAATGCGTTTGAGAAAGTGATACAGAAGACTCATTTGTGACCACGGCCCATATAAGAAGAAAATTCCGAGCCCTCCAAACCAACCAAATTCAGCAAACACCTTCAGAACTAAGGATTTTTATATGACATGTGTCAGTCACAAGTAAAACCTTTCAAACCAAGTGTAGAAATAATTTTTAAAGAGAATGCTGTCAGGCAGTGAACCAACCAACCTTACTAAGGCACTTTAACATTAAAATAGTGTGTGCTTTCCTCAGCCATGTCTATTATGACATAAGCACCATGGAAAAAATACAAGTATACTATGAATCAGAACACGTTCCACCATTGTACACTTACGTATTCTCCAACGACCACATATACAACAATGTGCAAAATTCTGGCGCAGGACTGTCACCGGAATTTCTACTTTTACAGACAGAAAATTATCAGCCTGAGTCTATGCTATAATTTTTTTAAAAATATACTTTTGGGCCGGGCGCGGTGGCTCACGAGGTCAAGAGATCAAGACCATCCTGGTCAACATGGTGAAACCTTGTCTCTACTAAAGATACAAAAAATTAGCTGGGCATGATGGCACGTGCCTGTAATCCCAGCTACTCAGGAGGCTGAGGCAGGAGAATCGCCTGAACCCAGGAGGCGGAGGTTACAGTGAGCCGAGATCGCACCATTGCACTCCAGCCTGGGTAACAAGAGCGAAACTCCGTCTCAAAAACAACAACAACAACAACAACAACAACAAAACCCATACTTCTATTTTTAATTAATTTTAGACTTAGGGAAAACTTGCAAAAATAGTGCAGGGAGTTCCCTTACCTCCTTTAGCCCACTTCCTCCAATGCTAACATCTTACGTAACCATAATGCAATTATCTAGAAGAGAAACTTACCTAAAGACCTCATTTGAATTGTACCCATTTTTCTGCGCCATGTCTTTTTTCTGGGATCATTCCACATTGCATTTAGTGACTTCCTGTTAGCCTCCTCCAGTCGGTAAGCACCTCAGTCCCTCCTTTTATTTTGTGACCTTGCCCTCTTTGAAGAGTACCGATCGGTTATTTTACAGAATGTGCCTAAATTTGGTTTGCTCTGATATTATTTTTTCATCACTAAAATGAGGTTTTGCATTTGAGGAAGTATACCACAAAAATGTCATACCCTTTTCAGTACAATCCGTTTTCCCTTTGTAGTTGGTAAGTATTTTTGGGACGGTAATTTGAGACTATGCAAATCCTATGCCTCCTCAAACCTGCATGAATTTCAGCATCCTATAGAAAACCTTGTTTACATTTATTACAGTGTTATCGGCTACCGGTGATTCTGTTTCCTTTTTTTCTTCCACATTTAGTTACTGGAATTCCATTGTGAGAAGAGGTATCTTTTTTATCTTTTCTTTATTAGACTATTTCTATCCACATGGACTCACTGTGGCAGACACGCCCACAAGTGACCGCCAATGAGTAACACTAGTGAGTAATCCCCTCCTTCTGAGAGCAGAACCTGTGATTACATCCAAAGAATGTGAAGAAAGTGATGGGCTGTCACTCCTGCAATTATGTCAGATGGCAAATGTAAAAGGAGTTTGAAGATATAATTAAATTCCCTAATCAGCTGACTTTGAAATAATCAAATGGGCCTGACATTTAAACCAGGTTCAGACCTTCTAGGAATTAGGCTTCTGTGGTATAAACTGAGCCTAAGGCAGGAACATGGAAGGCCTCCAGAATCTTTAGGACCTCACTCCAACAACCACAAGGAAATGAAGCTGCCACAATCTGAATGAAACTGGGATGGTTCTCCAGTCAAGCCACCAGATGAGGATGCAGGCTGCCCGACATCTTGATTGCAGCCTTGTCAGGTCCTGAGCAAGGACCCAGCTAAGAGGTGCTTGAACACTCTGCCAGGGGAACCGAGATAATGAATGCGCCTTGTTTTAAGCTGCTAAGTTTGTAGTACACCCTACATATCTTTTTCTCTTACACAATAATTTATTTATTGAGAGCCTCCTCTCCCCACTCTTGCAGTCTCTATGTCACTTTTTCCTCTCGGAGATTTTGTGCGCAAGCCCCAGAAAGATGGCTGGGGGCAGGGGTGCTGCGTACTGTTCAATCAGAGCCATAATGTGGTTGTAACTGTCTTCCTCATACTGCGAGAACATGGCCAGCAGATCCAGCTCCTCATATAATGCCTTCACCTGGGCCACCTGCTCAGCCTCCTTCTGCCTGTAATTTTCCTTCAGGATCTGGCGCTGTTCCGGAGTGGACCGTTACAGACACTGGACCACCAGCCAACTGCATTTGTTGTCCTGGATGTCAGTGCCAACTTTGCCAGTCACACTGGGATCCCCAAAGAGGTCAAGGTAATCATCCTGAATCTGAAAGAACTCTCCCATCTCCAGCAGGATCTTCTTGGCATTGGTATGCTCCTTCTTGCCATGTACATGGCTGCAGCTACAGTAAGGTAGAAGGAGTAGAAAGCTGTCTTGTACTTGACAATAGATTTGTACCTCTTTTCAGTGAATCTGCCGAGATTCACATTGCCCTGGGGGGCTGTGATGAGGTCCAGGGTCTGCCCAATCTCAGTCTGATAGGAACTCTGCAGGAAGAGCTCGATCAGGTTCAGGTAAAAGGGCTGCTCCTGGCAGTAGAGATTCAGCAGGCGGTATATACATGCTTCCAGAAGGATAGCATCATTGATGGCATCCAAACCCACGCCTGGCTTCTGATACCAGCAGATCTGTCCTCGGCGGGTGAGGGATGAATCCATGATGTCATCTGTCACCAGGAAGAAAGCTTGCAGCAGTTCCACACACCAGCCCATAGTCAGGGCCCGCTGGAGACTATCAGCATCCTGTTTCCTTGGCTCCATCAGCTCCCGGAGCGCTACTAGCACCGTCAAAGCCCGGTGATACTTGCCTCCAATGGCGTTGTGCTCCAGGACCTCTTTGAGCTGGGCAATAGCATCTCCTGTCTCTGGGTGCCCCGTCTCATCCTCAGTCAGCACCCTATCAATGTGGGAGAAGTGCTGAACGAAATCCTGCTTTTCTTGGGCATAAACATCTCCCTCCATTCATTCTGAGGGAGGAGCAAAGGGCTCTGTTCCTGGATGCAGGTTCCTGCTTCAACCCCCTACATATCTTTTGGGCTTTGCTTTTTCATGCTATCCTGGAAAGTACTTCCTATCAGTTTGCAACATTTCCCCATATTAAAAACAGCTCCCAGCACCCCTTTGTGTGAGTGCTCCATAGTGTACTTAACACTCTCCTGTGTGTATGAGCATTTAGACAGTTTCCAATCTTTTGTGGATATATTTTTGTACTGTTGGGGTCTATCTTCAGGGAAAATTCCCTGAATTACCAAATTTCCTTCCAGAAACTTTGTACCAATTTATATGGCTACAAGCAATGTTTAAAGGGCCTGTCTCTCCATAATCTAACAGAATGTGTTGTTGTTAAAAAAATTTTTTACTAGTCTTACATAAGAAGTAGTGCCTGCAATTTCTGAATTTGTACTTCCCTGATTCTGAGTTTGACTACATTTTTGTGTGTGAGGGCTATTTTAATATCTTTTTTTGTGAATTTTTTGTTCAAGTATTTCTCCTATTTTTCTGTTTAGGTTCTTAATCGTTTGCCCTAAAATTCTGAAGCGTTCTTTATATATTAGAGAGTGTAGCCCTTCGTGGTATATGTTATGAATATCTTCTCCTAATTTGTCAGCTGTCTTTTAGTTTTGCTAGTGTCTTTTGTAGTGGAATTTTGTGTGTCTTTTGTGTGGAATTTTTTTTAATGTAGTCAAATTTAACAGTCTTTATTTTTATTGCCTTTGGATTTTGAGTCACAGCTAGGAAGCTCTTCTCTCTACACCACGGTTGAAGAGGAATTCACCCTACTTTTCTTTGAGCACATGCATGGTTTTTTTCATCTCCCTCCAGTTTACTTGATGTCAGGACGGATCTAACTTCATCTCTTTGCACATGGCTCCCTAATTATTCCAACACAATTTATTTAAAAAGCCATTCTTAGCCCAGTGACTTGAGATATCATCTTTGTCATTTAATACATTTTCACATGTATTCGGTCTGTCTGGACTTCCTTTTCTATTCCACTGACCAGCAAACACTACTTTTAGTACTTTTATACCGTGTTTTAATGTCCAGTAAGAATAGTGCACCTCACCTGTTCTTTTTCAGTGTTTTCTAAGTTTTCTTGCATGTTTTTCTATATAAACTTTAGTATCAACTTGTCCAACCACATAGAACGGCTAATGTTTTCACTGTAATTGGACTGAAATCCTAACTTAAGGAGAACTCATGACTGTTGAGTTCATCCTACCCAAGAACAAGAGGCGCCTTTCATGGGTTTAAGTCTTTAGTTTCTTTCAGGTACCTACAGGGTTTGCACATTTTCTTCCTAAGCATGTAATCTTCCTTGTTGCTACTGTAAATGGGATTCTCTTCACCATTATGTGTCTTTTAACTGTTTATTGTGTATAGAAAGACTACTGCTTTCTGTATGTTAATTTTATGTCTTAATACTGCATTAAATGAATTCTTTCACTGCTAATCTGTCATTGATTCTCTGGGGTTTTCCAGGCATACTATTATATCATCTGTAAATAGACAGTTTTATTTCCCCTATACTCATCCTTATGCCTTTAATTGAGTTATCTTGCCTAACTACATCGGCTAAAATCTGTAGTACATTATTGAACAGTAGTGGAGATAGTGATGATCCTTGCCTCATTTGTGATCTTAGTGGAAATGCCTCTAGAGCTTCCCTATTCCATAACTGAAACTGAAGCATATACATTTTACCACGTTGAGAGTGTATCTCTCCATTGCTACTTCCTTGAGTGTTTTTATCGTAACTGGGTGTTTTGTTAAAGAGGAGATTTCGCCCCATCAGATGTATGTTTATGGTATATATTAATAATACAGTTGTTAACATTGAACCAACTTTGCATTTCTAGAATAAATGCCACTTATGGTCACTATTTTCTTTTTTTTTTGACTTATTTATTACACTTTAAGTTCTGGGGTACATGTGCAGATCGTGCAGGTCTGTTACATAGGTACACATGTTCCATGGTGGTGGTTTGCTGCATCCATTGCCCCGTCATCCACATTAGGTATTTCTCCTAATGCTATCCCTCCCCAATCCCCCACCCCCTGCTATTCCTCCCCTAGCCCCCTACCCCACAGGCCCTGGTGCATGATGTGTCCGTGTGCTCTCGTTATTCAACACCCACTTATGAGAGAGAACATGTGGTGTTTGATTTTCTGTTCTTATGTCAGTTTGCTGAGAATGATGTTTCTAGTTTCACCCATATCCCTGCAAAGGACATGAACTCATCCTTTTTTATGGCTGAAGAGTATTCCATGGTGTACGTGTGCCACATTTTCTTTATCCAGTCTATCACTAATGGGCATTTGGGTTGGTTCCAAGTCTTTGCTATTGTGAACAGTGCCACAATAAACACACGTGTGCGTGTGCCTTTACAATAGAATGATTTATAATCCTTTGGGTATATTTTTTAATGTTCTGTTAGATTCTGTTTGCTAATATTTTTTTAGAATCTTACACTAGGGAGAGGTTCTGGGAGAATTTTTTCGAATTAAAAATAGCTTTTAAGAACAGATCAAGATAATCACCAAACTAAATATTTAAGTAACATAATTTTGGGATTTTAGTATATAACAGAATTGGGGAAAAGTGGTTAATACATATATTTTGGTAAATTAGCACACATCCAGTAATGTATAATGTACAGTGGACTGAGACATAGAGCTTAGCATATCTCATAGAACAAGATGGTGGGGCACTCTGCCAAGTTTTAAGTTTTTAACAAGTATTAACACTCCCCATAGGTTTTTTTTTTTTTTTTGAGACGGAGTCTTGCACTGTCGCCCAGGTTGTAGCAGTGGTGCAATCTTGGCTCACTGCAATCTCCGCCTCCTGGGTTCAAGCAATTCTCCTGCCTCAGCCTCCCAAGCAGCTGGAACTTCAGGCCTGCACCACCACACCTCGCTAATTTTTTTTGTATTTTTAGTAAAGATGGGGTTTCACCATGTTGGCCAGGATGATCTCGATCTCCTGACCTTGTGATCCACCCACCTCAGCCTCCCAAAGTGCTGGGATTACAGGTGTGAGCCACTGTGCCTGGCCTACATTCCCCATAGTTCTTAATTTAATTTAGCTTATTGTTTGTCTCATCTGACTACAATGTACATTCCATACGGACAGAAAATTCCATCTCTTTGGTTCCCTGCTATATTATATTTCTTGAATCAGGCATATAGTAAGCATTCAATAAGTATTTGTTGAAAAAAAATGTATGGCTGATTATTCCAGGAACCAAGCTCAGATTAATACATAATTAGATCTTTATATAACTCATCTGTGATCATGCAGTTTTATCTTATTATTCTAGATCCGGATTAGGCAAACTTTTTCTGTAAACTGCTGGATAGTATATATTTTAGTTTTCACAGGCCATATGTTTTCTACTCACCTCGGCTGTTGTAGTTCAAAAGTACACACGGCCAATACAAAAACAAAATAGCATAAATAAAACTTTATTTACAAAAACAGGTGGTTGTCTGAATTTGGTCCTCTGGTGGTAGTCTGTGATCCCTGTTCTAAATGACAGTATCAGTAAAGAAACATTCAGAAATACGTGCTCAAAGAGCCAATAAACATCAAGCAGTATTTAATAACAGTAACACTGACATATCAACCTCACATTCTTCCGTATTTAAAGAGGAAGCCTTCATAAAGAGATATTAGTGACAGAACTTGGTTTATGTTCTCTGCAATCTAGATCTAAGAATGCACTGGGTTCCTTAGTACTCAATACAGCACAGATCTGAGACTTAAATGGTAAGTACACTTAGCAGGTACATGTTTAGGTAAATTATTACTTGTAGTATTTTCCCAACTCTTTCAGATCAGACCAAAACAAATCAACAAATCAGATCAACTGCTGATCAGATACAACTGCATAAATTACACGCTACTACTTCTGTGCTGGGATGATAGAGAATAAACATGAGATGAACAGGATTCCCACATTAATCCTTTACTGAGGCTAAAATTCCCTGGGGATAATTCCTTTCTACATTACTACAGAATATAACTCTAGAAACTCAAAAAGAACAAGAACACGGGCCAGGCATGGTGGCTCAAGCCTGTAATCCCAGCACTTTGGGAGGCCGAGGCAGGTGGATCACGAGGTCAAGAGATTGAGACCACCCTGGTCAACATAGTGAAACCCTGTCTCTACTAAAAATACAAAAATTAGCTGGGCATGGTGGCACGTGCTTGTAATCCCAGCTACTCAGGAGGCGGAGGCAGGAGAATTGCCTGAACCCAGCAGGCAGAAATTGCGGTGAGCCGGGATCATGCCATTGCACTCCAGCCTGGGTAACAAGAGCGAAACTCCGCCCCCTCCCCCCAAAAAAAGAACAAGAACACTGACTCTGAACCACAACCAACTCTGACAAACCATTCAACCCTTTTCAAATAATATTGTGTTATTAGGTTTAGAAATACTCAGAAATTCCATTTTTCAAAAGTCGTAGTGGCCAGAGAAAAATTATTCCTTCCTTTCACATCATGACAGCTAAAAAGCCAACTAACCTAAGACAGATTTAGTTAATCTGAGATGGAATATTGACATAATTAGTCAAGATAGCAAATCTGAAGTCTGAATGACAGACGCTACTTGGTTTCAGTTTTAGTGCCCAAAATCCATCCCATCCTTCTAATTTCCCTATGCTAGTTGACTCTTGGCAAAAGCGAATAAAGGAGGAGCTAAAGAGAGAACACTGTCCAGAATACACATTTATTTGTCTTACAAGTTTGCAGGTAAATTGGAGATGGTTAGCTTGAATATACAAAATGAGGTAAAATAAATAAATAAATAAATCTCACTATATAGAGCGCAATGTCCTAAATGATTTTCTTCCATTAGTAATTCAAGATTGGCTTTTTATAATTAACATGAAAAGACATGTTTAATTGTGGAAACCTGGACAATTTTGTTGGCCAGTTGTCCTCAATAAGGATCCTTAGGATACATGGGGATCACGAGGTGTTTAGTGGCAAGTGCTTGGGTCCTCTTCATAAACTCTGTTGACAGTTGCGAGGGTAAGACCTACTATTCTTAGGTTCATGTGAATTCAACTGCTGTGGTTGTTGCTGAATTCTGAGAAGAAATGAGGAATGCTGCCAACCACTTTGAAATAACTCTATCATAATCAAGTTACTTCCCAGGAATGGTGCTACAAAATCGATATGTATTTCATAGTTTCCAGCAATTAGCAATTGAATTATTCTTCTTCTGGTCAAGAATTCTTAGTGGCGTCATTAACTTTAGTGAGAAACGTAAAGAACACACTGCAGCACCCAAGCACTGCCACACCACCACTTCGGTAATGTGCATTCTGTACTTCCCTGACAGGCACTTCTGCTGCATCCACAACTAGATGCTGGGTTGCTTTATTCTAGTCCATCCTCATGGAAATCAGCTCTCTTTCAAATCTTTACAGTGGCATACAGATTTCACCTGCCACCATCTGACTTTACCCATCTTCTGGAGGATATATTTCTTACATTCGGCCAAACCCGCTAGTAATTACACTATAACTTCTTACTATGGGCTGTATTTAGCTGCTCTTTTAATTTCTGAAACATGAAAAACTGGTCAGGATCTTTCCTTCCACCATGATAAATGACAATATAATTTTGTTAAGAGACAGCACTGGCAGTCTTGCAAGTTCTTCACATGTACCCCAAAACCTAAAATGCAATTAAAAAAAAAAAGCATTGGTTGTTGCATGGTAGACTCCATATCTGTGGAAATCACTGTACATCTTATCTAACTTAGTCAGAAACTGGAGTGTGGGCCTGGCACGGTGGCTCATGCCTGTAATCCCAGCACTATGGGAGGCCATGGCAGGCAGATCACCTGAGGTCAGGAGTTCGAGACCAGCCTAACCAACATGGAGAAACCCCATCTCTACTGAAAATACAAAATTAGCTGGGCGTGGTGGCCCATGCCTGTAGTCCCAGCTATTTGGGAGGCTGAGGCAGGAGAATCGCTTGAACCCGGGAGACAGAGGTTGCAGTGAGCCGAGATCGTGTCATTGCACTCCAGCCTGGGCAATAAGTGCAAAACATCATCTCAAAAAAGAAAAAAAGAAAAAGAAAGAGAGAAACTGGAGTGTGATAAGATGGTACAGCTCTGCAATACAGCACAAGGATTTCATGGGTCATTTCTTTAAAAACCTGTGTAATACCTAATGGCGTAAATGAAAAATATGTTTTCTGATAATTCATACATTGATCAAATGTCCTGGTCTTAGGCAATTATTTAGATGAGTTAGAAAACCCACAAGTTATTTAGGACATAGCATCCTCGTGTTCAGTATTTTCTATTTCACTTGCTTTAAGAACGGAAAAAATCCCTCTTATTCTCGGAATGAAGAAGCAGGCTGACTGACAGCAACTTCGATATGCTCCAGGCAAACTACTGAAACACAGAATGGGCTCAGGCTCCCACTTAGTGCTTAGGGTTAACAGTTTATCTCAAGTGCCCGAGTGTGAACTTATAACACTTCCTACTTTTCAGCATGGGGGTGTGTGCCTCTGTCTCTAATAGGGTCATCTCACCCTTACCAAAAGGTCCTACATTAGGGCAGGGGGTGGGGAAGATCTTTGTGACAGGCTGTCAACACAATTCTTTGTTGTGAATAAATCCTATCTCCAATTAGAGCAGTATAAACCAGAAAGGAATGTCCTTCCCTACCTTTCAAGTGAGAGCACAGAACCACAGTGACTAGTGTTCTCACCTTTAAGGAGTTGAGCCTCTGCCTTGAGAGAGAAACTTTTCATGTCATATGGCTCAAAAGTTCATTCAAAATCGGGCTAGAGTCTCCTAAATCCTTATCCAAACCATTACAAACTATTGATGTGACATTAGGTCCTAAAAATACAGACAAATGGGCACTTCAGAGGCTATCTGGCTTGGATACTCCTGAGCCATTAAGGGAATGAGGAAACTTAAAATTCCTGAACTTGAAAGAACAAGACGGTTCCCACGTACTGTTTACAGGGCCCTATACCTTTATTCTAAACAAACTAATAAACTGTCAAAAATCTGCAGGATTAAGCTTTTCAACTCTTCTTCCTGCTGTGGTCTGAGGGTTCCAAGTCTTTCTCTAAACCTCACTGCTAGATTTGAAGATAGAAGAGCTACAAAAGACGATCAGCTAACAGGTAGAAAACAGAAGTGGATGTGAGGCGGTCTCCGTAAGAATTATGCCCTCATAAAAACCCTTAAAGACCAACTTACAGAACGTTATTCACTCAGCCTGCTATAATACATTCAAACCTTTATTAGTTAAATGTACTAAAACTACATAACATTTTTCACATGGAAGTTGGTTTAACAGTCTGATCACTGATATCCACGAGATCCCTTTGGGGGAGATTCCTTTCCACAGAGAACTTGGGGCAGAGAAACTGAAAAGCCTCTGGCAAGGCAAAGGACAAGTTAAGTCAGAGGATACACAGTGACACATGGACTTCTAGACTTGACTATTTCAGTCTCCACAGCTTTGATTAAAGACAAACTGGAGGTGGCCCAGCACAATGGCTCATGCCTGTAATCCTAGCACTTTAGGAGGCTGAGGCAGGCAGATCACTTGAGGTCAGGAGTTTGAGACCAGCCTGGCAACAAGGTGAAACCCCATCTCTACAAATTCCTCATTCTGGGTTCCAACACTTGGTGACAACGTGGTGGTGGGCAACTGTTAACCTGCTACTTGGGAGGCTGAGGCAGGAGACTCAAACCCAGGAGGTGGAGGTTGCAGTGAGCTGAGATCACACTGCTGCACTCCAGGTAGGGTGACGGAGCGAGACTTCATCTCCAAAACAAAAAAATAAATAAAAATAAACTGGAGTCATAAAAGATTTACATATACTGGATTCTCCTTATTAAAACGGACCATAAAAGTCTGGATGACTGCTAAGTGACCTGGAAGGTGTGGGAATATCGTGTGCCTTGGATTTGACTTAGGTGTGACTCACAGAGTGGCAGCTGACATAAGCTCATAAGCCTGGGTCCCACTGTGCTTGCCATGCCACTAAGGACCAACTCTGGGGAGGTAGATAAAAACTACCTCTTCGTGGATAAAACAGCCATTACATAAAAGAGGGAACTTTAAGGAAAGCTTCTCAACTTCAGTTAACTTCAGGTGTGAAGACAGAAATAGTAAACAGGCAAGATGACCAAAGATGTGACTTGGCTGAAAGCAGGAAGCGCTTCACTTTGGGAATCCTGAGGATCCGGGAGGCACCCGCTGTGAAAGTCCATGGTGTGCTTAAGTATATAAACTACCACGCTGAAAATCTGCCATTCTCATCCGAACACCCCCTGCAATAGCTTTAAAGCTCAGGCATACAACTCCCAGGTCTATCAGGCATGGGAAAACCCACTTGTGGAGGGAAAGGTCTACTGTGCACACTGGGTATGGCAGAGCCAGCCTGGCCTTCCCCAGGAAATCCAGATCCATAGCGCTCTGCTATCTGTAAGCAAAGAGGTAGGTTCTGAACTTTCCTCAGGCAGAACACCAGTCATAAAATGCAACAGCCACCAGCTCTATTCTCTCTAATCCGCGCTTTGATGTAAGGTAAGAGGCAGGGGGCAACACCGGGTAGAGCGGGCGGTTTCTATTTTTCTCACCAGGGCAAATTAATAAAAACAAAACCCAATTTTTCCCTTCTCTTACCCATTCTTATTCCTCTTCAATATTTTTCCTCTTTCTAAGATTCCTTTTTTGTTTGAGAAGCTTAATATTTGGCTGCCTTCTGAAGAAATGGGTATAGTGACAGATGAAAGACTTGTATTCATCGTCTAATTCAGAGTAAGGGGAAAAATCGACTGCTGTGCATTTAAGATTCTAACAACCTTGCAATTTTGTATAGTCGTTTCCCCCACCCGTTCTTTTGAAGAAATCTGCTTTTATTCTGCTAATAACTAACCACAGTTGCAGCAGCATGGATCCGATTAGCAGTTCTTATGATACAAAGGGGTGAAGAAAAAAAGCTGTGAACGGGGTTGCCAATTTGTCCACCTGGGACCCCAGGAGAAAGATTAGCCGAGGCGCCTGCCTGCTCCCTTTCTTCCACTTGATGGCTGCTCTATGCTGCCGGATAGAGACAGGCCTTTTTCAAGCCAAGGCACTTGCCTTTAATAAAAGTTTCACTCGCCTCCATCCTCTCTTGTCACCAATTCCTCATTCTGGGTTGCAACACTTCGTGACAACTCTGCCTGTAAACATGGGTGGCTGGCTACGAAAAGTGCCACACGCGGATGCTCACCCCCTTGGAGTCGTTTTGCATCTAAAAGAGAATATGTCATGTGAGCACTTGCTATGCCCTGCAGGTATGAGGGACCGTGTTTTCCAGACCAAAAGGTAGTGGCACACGTGGCCAGTCAACAGGCATCTTTACGCTGCTTCTGGATGTGAGAAGGCAGAGGGAAAAATACAGAGTTTGGGAACTGAATATTGGAATCTGAGGAGAATAACACAGAATGTATAACACTGAGACCAACAGATAAAACACTGGTACTATATATAGGTGGCATGGTTTCTGTAAATTTTCCATTTAGATATAGAATTAAGTGTCCATTTATGTACTAAAATAATGCACTTTTTTTAAAGAGTTTAAAAATTCATTGCATTTGTGATTACACTAAGTAATGACAGCTTGTTTTCATGATAAAACTTAAGATCCTTGGTATAAAACTACATTAAAAGTAAAGAAGCAGACAGCTAAAAGCACCATTCTGAAAAACTTAAAACAAAACCCAAAAACAACCCAAGGCTTCTGAGTGAAATCTCCAGGATCTAAGGGGTATAAATCAGCACTTCGTAACGTATATTTAACAGAAATCAGCACCTGCTTAACTTGCTTCGATATGACAATTCACAGCATGACATATTAATACATTTGGGTAAATAAGTGCTTTTTCAAGAGAAGAAGAGTTAGTTGCACAATGAAACCCGGATTAATCAATAACCAAACTCCTTTTTAACAGTGCTGGGCTTGGGAGGTTGCTGGGGGTTGGGGAGAGCAGATCTCTCCAGCACGAGGCTAAAACTACAGGGCCCAGGCAGGAGGCAGCGGACACCCTCAGGGACCTGCAGCTCAGGAGTAAACTGACAGAAGCAGTGCCAGCCCGGGCATGGCAAAGCTCTGCCAGGGGACAGGAGGGCTCAGGCCACAGAACCTCTGATTGCAGCAATGTGGAGAGGAAGGTTCTCGAGCACGACCTCAAGTATTCTTCATCGCTCCTTCAGATTGGACTCAATATTTGGCAAGCGCACTTGTGAAAGGCATCTGCCGCAATGAAGTCGCTTTCAGGACGGAGGAAAAAAGGATGATCCCATAGAGGGTGAAATGCAAAGGCGGAAACACGGCTCCGAGCCCACAGGAGAAAGGATACGTAAGTCACCAATTTCCAAACTCTTTTCTCTTGAATTTCCGTTTTTCTAAGAGAACTGTGAGCTCTTTAATTTGGCCCACGTGTACTGAACAGCGCTACTTGTCAGGCAATGTTCTTGGCACTGGGGACAAAAAGAAGAGAGCCCCGCCAAGGGCTCAGGCAGCTGGGGCAGCCCGAGGGAGAGCTGAACTCCAGGGCTGCAGGGTTCAGCAAGGACTTCCTGAAGGGAAAGGCTGTTTAGTGGGGTCTTGATGCATAAGTAGGAGTTTGCTGGGCTGCATAAAGGGTGGGATGGACATTCCAGGCAGAAAGGATAGATAACATTATTCTTTTATGCAGCTCTAGGGGCAAAGATCTGGTTAGTGGTATAGAAACAGGGAATTCTGAACTAGTTCTTCCAGCTGCTTCTAAGAAAAAGCAACAAGGCCAAATTAAAAACAAACAAGCAGCAAAAATATATATACACTGGGGTTTGGTTCTTTTAAAATAGGATATGTTTTTTGCCTTTTCTCAAATAGAATTTAAATGACATGATCCTTAGACTTCACGCGAAATGAACTTAAAGGAACAACTGGGAACGGAGGGAGTCCACTGGTAGCTGAATTGGACATGAGAATACAACAGTAATTTTGCACAATAATTTTTTCTGTAATATTACTTTCGACTGAACCAAATCTAGTTCTAGAAAGGTCAGGAAAAAAAAAAAAAAGAAAAGAAAAACAAAACACCCGGCACTATGCCGCCTTAAAAAATGAGTTATTTATCCTTAAACGTTTCTGTGAGAAATAGATGTGCCCATAACTGGAAACCAAGCTCCTTCTGGAACGCTGAGCAAGTGCGAAGCTGCCTTGGACACAGGTGCTCTCTTCCATATTCTAGAAAACATTTCTTCTTCCATTTCTCTTTTACAGTCTCTACATTTTGGGGTACCCCGAGGTTGTCTCAGAATTCTTCTCACAGCCGGGCGCGGTGGCTCACGCCTGTAATCCCAGCACTTTGGGAGGCCGAGGCAGGTGAATCACGAGGTCAAGAAATCGAGACCATCCTGGTCAACATGGTGAAACCCCGTCTCTACTAAAAATACAAAACATTAGCTGGGCGTGGTGGCGCGTGCCTGTAATCCCAGCTACTCGGGAGGCTGAGGCAGGAGAATTGCCTGAACTCAGGAGGCGGAGGTTGCGGTGAGCCGAGATCGCGCCATTGCACTCCAGCCTGGGTAACAAGAGCGAAACTCCGTCTCAAAAAAAAAAAGAATTCTTCTCGCAGTGATCCTCAGCCTTGGCTGCACATAATCACCACCTGGAGAGCTTTAAAAAAGTACTGACGAAATACCGTGCGTCAGACCAATGAGGTCAGCATCTCTGGGGCTGGGCTGGCATCGGGCTTTCCCAGGTGTGCTGTGTGGCATGTGCTGCTGTCCGCTGACCTTCACTCACTCTCTAGGTCAGGACTTCCCAGACCAGTAGCTTCAGCAGAGCTAGAAATTATTGGAAATGCAAGTTTCCGGGCTCCACCCCACAACTACTGAATCACAAGCCCCCCAAGTGACCCTGAGGCAGGCTGGGTGCCCAGGGGACCTCGTCCTGAACCCTAATGCCTCACAAACTTATTTTTCCCACCAAAATCCTACCTGAGTCCATTCAAAATCTCCCTTAGGATGCCCAGTGGGAATCTCAAATACAGTATGTTTAACCCAAACTCTTGATTCCCCATCAAAAGCGTGTTCCTCTGTCCTCTATTCAGAACCACCATTTTAGCAATTCCTTCGGCCAAACACCTTCTGCTGCTACCCCTGCCATGTGTACAACCAAGTGGCAATCAAACCTCCCTGCCGCTACTGCAGGAGCCTCTGGTGTCCCTGCTTCCCCCTTCCCCTGCAGCATCCTGTCCACTTAGCAGCCACTGTGAGCCTCCTAAACCCTCAACAGGATCATGTCCCTGCCTTCCCAGCCTTCCAGAAGGTTCACATCACACTTAAACTCCTCAATTACAATCATAACCTACAAAGCCGTTAGCTCCTCTCTAATCTAAGTGCCCACCCTTTCTGCTCCACCGCCCATGACCACCATGCTTCGGCTACACTGACTTCCTGGTGTTCCCCGCCCGGCACATTAGCACAAGACTAACTCAGGGCCTTTGAGTTTGCTCCTTTCCCTGACTGGATGTTCTTTCCCAGATGCTCACATGGCTTGCCCCTGCTTTTCCTTCACTTCTCTTGTTGAAGTATCAACTTCTAAGAGAGACATCTTCCCTAACTAGCCACTGCTATCTAAAGAAGTCACTCGATTTTTCCCCGACTACCTGACAATCAAGTATGCAGTTATTTATGTATTTCCTGTCTTTCCCACTAGAATTTAAGTTTCATGAGGACAGGACCTTTTGCAGTTTATGTTCGGTGCGTTTACCCCACTTACTATGCCTGCAGCATAACATACACTCAGTGCCTCTTCATGACAGAAGAGGATAATAAAATAAGAAAGGAAGGGAAATGAACAACTGAGCTAGTTAGTGTCCACAGGGTGCATCCAGCAGCCAAAGTGCAACACGCTACTTTCCTAAAACCATCAAATGAAGTAATATATTTGGCATCCTCAGCAAGGTCACGCTCTTGGCATTCAGTTTTACGCATTTAGTGCAGTTTGCAAGTACAAACTCCTATGTCACTTTCTGTTTGGAAGGGAGAATATCAACATTAACGATTCCTGGTTATATCATTTATAAACATGCAGATGTGGATTATGAAAGATTAATGCATTTCAGGATTGGTGAGGGCATTCCGTTTGTCTGATGCCGAAACCAATTCTGTTCTTCATTAGTCAGTGACAACCCATATCACCCTGTTATGGAAGAGAAATCAAAGGTGCAAGTGTGTGAATTGAGAATAAGCGAAGAAACTGACTGGTAAGAGCCTTAACGGCTATAATCAATCAACACATCATAATAATCCTGGCTCCAGGGTTATCAGGAGATTGGAAAGAAGCCTAACACTCTCTATAAAATGGTTTTGTTCCTTCTACAATTGCTACTTATTCTCTTTTAGGAAACATGGTGATATACCAGAAGTTTGTGAAATCAACTTTAGGGGCATCTTGACTCCAAAATACTATGCGTTTTACCACCATTTCCCAAAATGTACTCAAGTGATTTTTGAAACTTTTTACTTCTAGGCTAAAATTAGTTCATAAAAGCTTTGGTACCCCTCCATTCTGCATCCTCCTCCTCAGTGAAGGCCGAAGGCAGCAGGTCAATGCCAACAGCATTTCTGCAGAGGCAGCACAAGCAGAGTCCAGACACAGTGACACTCAGCTGAGCACAGGTTCAGAGCAGGGACAGCCTACTCCGCTCAGGAGTGAAAACAGAGAACAAGGTGTCTGAAGTGCTTCTCCAGTGAACAATGCAAAAAAGTCATGGAGAAGTGGGAGTGGACCATCAGACCAACCATGAAAACACATGAGTCATGGCTGAGATTGCTGAGCAAGAGAAAGGCACATAATATTGCCTTGGTGACACAGGCTTTCTTGTATTTTCATATACAGAAGAATAGAGAAAAGGAATAGATATGAATCGGAGAATTTAAACTGAATTACCCAACTTTTTTTTAATTAAGAGAGGGAGCAAAACTAAGTGTGTATTTGGAGAAATTTCTAGTTTTTTTTTTTTGAGACAGAGTTTTGCTTCATCGCCAGGCGCCAGGCTGAAGTGCAGTGGCATGATCTCGGCTCACTGCAACCTCCGTCTCCTGGGTTCAAGCAATTCTCCTGCCTCAGCCTCCTGGGTAGCTGGGACTACAGGTGCATGTCACCACACCCAGCTAATTTTTTTGTATTTTTAGTAGAGATGGGGTTCCACCATGTAGGCCAGGCTGGTCTTGATCTCATGACCTCGTGATCTGCCTGCCTCGGACTTCCAAAGTGCTGGGACTACAGGCGTGAGCCACCATGCCTGGCCAGTATTGCTGAATGTGGGAGAAAAAAGGGGGAAAGGCTTAATTAATTTGTAGTTTGTTGGAATGAAAGATTGAAAAGATTTTTGCTGCTGAAAAAAGGATACTCATTCCCCATCTATCAGAATACCTGATTTGGAAACACGGTGATATACCAGAAGTCTGTGAAATCAACTTTAGGGGCATCTTGACTCTAGTACTATGCATTTTTTCTGGAGTGATGTCTGAAGGAAAAGAGTAGCTCAGAACAATGGGGCGGTTCTTCAAATGCAAGGCCCTGGCGGCCAAACAGCAATGAGGAATCTGGTCTTTACAAACAGCACTGACAATACTCATGATCCATGGACTTGCTGAGTGTCCATAACCAGGATCTTGGCCTGAATTTTAAAGCCATTATCTTAAAGTGGGAGGTTCTGTATCATACCATCAATAACTAAGCCATATGGAGATGCAACCCCACCTCTCAAAAAGACAAAATAGTCAATTTGCTTTCTTAACTATTGCTAGGCAGCATTTGGAAGGGAATGGAAATAGTTTTGCATAACACCCAAATATTTTACTTTGTCAGGGAGAAAAAAAGACTGGCGTTAAGTTCTCTTTGCTTTGTAGAACTGCTGAATTGGTTTTCTGTGCTGCCACAGATTAAAAACATGGATATATCAACGGCATTTTGTGTTAATTTTTTTTTTCCTTCTCAGCTTGCCAATAAGCAGCATGCATCTTCCTTGCAACAAGCTGTTGCAGGATTTCCACCTCCAGAGAAGCCAAAAAGAACATTTGACAGTTATTTTAAAATAAGATTATTAGGTAAGGTGATTATGCAGACTTTGAAATAAAAAATGTCTGTCAGTATGCGAAATGCCATTTTAGAGGGTCTACTGCTAACGTTATGAATGGACACTGGCTAAGAGCCATTTACACAGAGAAATAAACTCATGCTTTTTACCCAGAGTTTTATTAAGGCCACATTAAAAAGTAGAAAGTTTATTTACTTAGGATGGGCTTGAGCCCTAAGAGAGCTAAAACTCCAGGGAAAACGGGTGAAACGAAAGAGACGCTGGTTTGCATCCTCTGTCGTTCATCTGATAGGTACTAATCTTGACAAATTAGACCAGGAGCTTTCATTTCCTCTCACTGGAATCCTTCCTGTTCACTCTGGCCTATGACTAAGTCCTCACTGAGATTCATTTTTCTCTTTCCCATTATAGCATCCTTCCAGATTCTTCTTGTTTGAATGTCAAATTAAGTAAGAAAATTAGTTTTTTGACCAGAATATCTTCTTGTTTGTATCTGCAGCTATATCGGCTTGTAGAGAAATCTACGTGCTGAAGGGGTAGGACTGGGTGAGCGCTTACACAGAAGAGCTCTAAATACACCCTGTGCTTCCAAAGAGTTCTTTTCCATATTTAATCGAACATGGGGCGCCCTTTCTAGAACTCATGCTTTTTGTGTCTGAGCTTTTCCTGAGGTGCACAGATTCATCACGGCTGGTTGGTATGCTGGATACATCTCTCACCATCTAGGAATGGCCGGGATAAAGAGGCGGAGATCAGGCTCACTATGAAGGAGCTGGAGCTTTGTGGAGTAGGAGGATGGGCTCTGGCCAACCCACTTCGTGGGGCTCGACACACCTGTCATCCTTTTCAAAGGACAGAGACTGAAGTTATTCACTGGGTAGGAGCTCACATTAGCAGAGGGGTGCGGGGTACCACATGCTGTGCACTGTTGTGGGGCTCCTGGAGGCAGCCACCCCAGCGGGAGGGACCCATGCAGAGGTGATCACGGGGATAGTGGGGAGTGCAGTGGACTGGAGAGGGAGTAGGCGAGGGGAGGTATCAGTACAAAAAGACGGGCGCTGGGAAGGCGGCTCCTGGAAGGTGAGTGACATTCCTCCCAACCCAGGCCTCCTGGCTTCACAGTCTGAGCTCTGAAGCTGCCTTGACCCATGCCTCACGCCCAGCCAGCCAGCGGGCAGTCTGCTGAGAAGCCAGGTGGCAGGCGAGTGGCTCCAAACAGCAAAGCATGAAATGAAAAATAAAGGGGGCTCTACTTTCTTATCTGATGCAACTCCATTTTGTTTGTTTCTACGATAGCTAGGATGAGGTTGCCTTTGATTAGTCTCACCTAGTACCAGGCAAGAAGAACAATAGCCATGATACAAACAGCTACTCATTATGTGCTAGCATGAAGACCTAATTTTGTATTTTTGATCCTAATCTCTTATGATCAGTGGCCTTCTACTGCCAGATCAAAGCGACTTAACTCTACTTACAATGGACTTGGCACAAATGCCAAATGCCTAATGCCAAAAAAAAGAATGGGGAAAAGTCTATTCAGGAATTTTCAGTTACTGCCCTTAGATCTTCATTAATAAAACAGATGAACTGAGTTTTATAAACAAGAGTGCCAGCCAGGCTATGAACAGTTAACACCTACCTGTCCATTCCTCACCCCGATGGCGTGCTCCCTCTCTTCAACATTTAAACACTGTCGCTGCTCACAGCACACGGAGGAAAAGCTGACACAAGCCTTTGGCCAATAAAATAAAAAATTTTAAAGTTTGGCTTATTTACATTTTGCTTTGTTAGTAAACTGGAATGGCGGGCTCTGGAGGCAAGATGAGTGAAATTAACATCCGCAGAATTTTCTGGCAACAGCAGTGCATTCGGATGCTGTGCTGAGTCAGCTTCCACCATGCATTAGGGGCAATCAGGCCCAGTGTAAGACTGAAGACCTGTTCAGTACGTCCAAAACCCGGCAGTCCTCCTTACAGCAAAGTGAAAAACGCTGGGACGTAACCCAAGAAGCAGCCTAAGTGCAACGTGATGGGATCATTTACTGAAATACCAGCATAACGTCCAATGTCACACATTTCAGAATTAACTGTACCTGACATTACATCTGCTTAATTTAAATATACACTATATGAATACACACTGCCTATTACAGAGATGGAGCTATTTCATTTCTGTCTCTAAATATAAATACATCAGTATGAAGGAGAGAGAGAATAAGTAACAAACGAGGAAATTTATAATGGCTGTGGAGGGAACTATACAGCGTCTGTGTTACTGCTCTAAATGCTTGTTTAGGTTCAATAAGCAGGTCTGAATTCTTTACCTTCTAACTATAGAGAGTTGCGACGCTGGAACTGCAAACAAAAAGAATGTGCAAGCAAAAAGAGACAATCCATGTGGCTACCTAACATAAAAAACCTCCATCCTGCTTCTCCAAAGAATGCATGTGGTAGAGCCCTGCTGGGTCAGGGGTGCGGCAGGGCAGTGTGGTACCAGGGTATCATAGCAGTGGTTCCCATGACACTCACAATGTTTGTGAGGCAGCAAGGTAGGAGGGCAAATCTGCAGTGGGTGGAGGAACATTTTAACAGGCAAGAAACACCATCAGCCATTTGGGATGCTTTACTGGGGTTTGTGTATCTACCTCTGTGATACTTCTCATTAGCTGTCAATTACATTTAGCAGGGTAGAGACGGAGAAAAATGATTGTTCTTTTTCAACAAATCCTAGGAGAGCAACATCAGGAAGAACCCCCTGCAACATTTTGGCTTCACTTCATCCCAGCTATCAGCTACATAACAGCTGCACATTTTACAATGACTTGTTAGAGAGACAGTGATTGAAAGAGCCAGTCTGTGAGACATGAAGAGGAGGTGGCGAGATACAGCAGGAGGTAACAGGAGAGAAGAGGGGTCAGACACAAGTCAGTGCGGGGAATGAGAGGAAGGAAGGGGAGAGGAAGAAAACAAAAGGCTACATGTATAAAAATAAAGGGAAATTCCTAACAGATACTCAACAGTTTGAGTATCATGCCTGGGAGAGCATGCCATCTCTGCATGACATGCGCAGTTCACTGGCAGACTCAGAACCAGAGGAAGGTGGACTGTGTATGAGTCTGGGATCTAATGTATAGATCCACATAATTTAAATATGGGAAAAGGAGGAGGGAAATGGGCCTAATTATTCTCTAAAGGAAGGTGGACTGTGTATGAGCCTGGGATCTAATGTATAGATCCACGCAATTTAAATATGGGAAAAGGAGGAGGGAAATGGGCCTAATTATTCTCTAAAGGAAGGTGTATTTGGATTTAGGTAACAGTAAATATAAAACAAAAAGCAAAGACCAACACTATGATCGACTCCAAAATGTGGTTTTATTACCTATGACCAAGTTCACAGAAATACATAATATAATCCAAGTCAGATAACTCAATATATTTAATATTTCTCAGAGAATAAGGATATGAATCTCAGGGAAATGATTTAAAAAATTAAACAGGACAGGGTGCCTAGGTGGAAAGAAATGGAAATAGAAGATGATCGTTTTTTTCTCCAACAAAAACCTGTGATGAGTTTTGAGCAAATTCCATTAAAACAGCTGCATATAAAATGTTTGATGAACAGTTATCAAAAAAAACTGATATGTGAGTGCCCCTAGGCTTAGCTGTGGGAACAGACAGAAGAGAAATGGGTAATACCTGGACTCAAGCCACGGACTATTCCCCCAAGGTCTAGGACAAGGTTGCTGAGAGTAACCTGGCTCCTCTGCATGAATGAGAAAATGGTGCCCCTTCCCACAGAGGGCAGGTCAACCCCATTCAGATCCTGTGCAATGAGCAACCTGTTGAAGTGTGTACAGGAGCCCTGGCGGGGGCCACTGAGCAAAAAGAGCTGCTCACAGTTGGCCTCCATTTAGGCAAAAAGAGGGAAAATCATCCAGGAGTTTATACTGCGCCCATTGTTAACTTCTCTGCGTAGCAGGCAGGCTATCTAGCATAAACCAGTTTGCCTAGGATCTGAGTGAAGCGCGTTGAAGTGTCCAGCTCAAATTTTCATGTGTGGAGACACCAGTAAGAATTCCGTTAATCTCTGGGGTACAGTCATTTCTCTCTTATTTTCTGGTCTTCATCTTAACCTTCCCAGGCCCAACCCCCAAGAAGAGCAGCATGGACCTTTTTTTTTTTCCCTAGAAGAAAGAACTGAGTTCAACTTTGTGAAAATGCATTATGCTTTCGTGGCTAGCTCTAGCAGTCCTACTGAACTACCTCCGCAAACACAGCAGGTCACCACTGGGAACATACATGTCTTCTGAATTGTGTAAAAACACCACTGGCTTAAGAACCAGAAGACCTGCTGCCTAAATCAGCTGTACCGCTCTGGACAGTAATTGTCACAGACAGGCACCCAGGTCTCAGTTTGAATAAGACCCATAATGGAGAACCTAACAATTTTAAGAATCAGCAAGCACTGAGTGCTCGCCATGTATCTATCTCATGTGCAGTGACACATTTAATCTTCGCATTTCCCCTATGAGGTGGGGTTATCATCCATACAGATGCAGAAACTGAGGCACGGAAAGGCTTAGAAGCTTCTTCAAGGCTATGTGGCTAGTATCAGAAAATTATGAAAGTCCACCCAGTTCAAATGTTTGTAATTCCACTTGGGAGAAAGGTGAATGCCCAAATTGCTTATCAGATTTTTTAAGAGGCGACTCCATGGAGAATACACTAAGAAATGTTCATTTGTCATATTTATATAATCTGATCCCACGTAGCTTCACACTTATCAAAGACAGTTAAGAATTTACTTGAAGAATATGCTACCAAAAACAGGCGGAGCTTTTGCTGCCTAATTTCTTCCCGGTACTAAATTTCATCGACAAGCTTTACCAAGCACCATATAGATGTTGGCTACCGAGGGGCTGACTTGTAAAAGAACAGTGAAGCAATATGGCGGTTAGCGTTTCTGACACAAGTTTAAAAAACAAACTAAACACTTTAAATGACATATCCAAGAAAGTGGAAAGTTTTCTATTAAAAAAGGAGTTAGCAGGGAGAAATGGTAGTAAGGTCCTTGTCCTCTCTGCCCGCAGGCATCTGCAGTTACTGTGAAGAATGACCATCCTTCATCAATGATAGACTGAATAAAGGAAATATGGCATATATATACCATGGAATACTATGCAGCCATAAAAAAGGATGAGTTCATGTCCTGTGCAGGGACATGGATGAAGCTGGAAACCATCATTCTCAGCAAACTGACACAAAAACAGAAAACCAAACACCACATGTTCTCACTCATAAGTGGGTGTTGAACAATGAGAACACATGGACATAGGGAAGGGAATATCACACACCGGGGCCTGTTGGGGGTGGTGAAGAGCTAGGGGAGGGATAGCAGGGAGTGGGAGGGGTAGGGGAGGGATAGAATTAGGAGAAATACTAATGCAGATGACAGGGGGATGGATGCAGCAAACCACCATAGCACGTGTATACCTATGTAACAAATCTGCACGTTTTGCACATGTACCCCAGAACTTAAAGTATAATAAAAATTAAACTAAATTAAAAAATAAAAAAGGATGGGCATCCTTTGTGACAGTGTCTAGCCCACTTACCAGCTTTTACTCTGTGCAAACCAACTAAACCACAGACTCTGAGGCCAGTTAAATTTGCTGAGCTACCTTCTCTGTAAAATACTATATAATTTAATATATGATACCATACCCAGGATCACATGCCCAAAGTGAGCTCTTATGTTCACTTTTATGTTCTTTATCGCATCAAAATCCAAACCATGAAAATATAAGTTTAGAAATCCCCATTTGAAATGCAGACATGTATGACAATCTTCAGATAGTTAACTACTCATGTCAGGAATTTAAAATTTTAAATGATCATATCTTTATACCTCAAGAAAGTTTTCATTTAGGTTTTTACACAAAGCCCTTTTGACTCGATTTAGAATGAAAGAGTGAGCTCTTTGAGTAATGCAGTTTTACATATAACTTTCCAACATTTAGGTAGGTGACACCTTACAAACCATCTCAACATCAAAAACTGTCTTTAAAATTCTGGACTATAGAGAATTCATAGCTTTAAAAAGTCAAAAGCAGCAAATAAGTCCAGGTTTTATTATAACCACTATGAGGACAAATATTTTTGAAAGAAAGGTAACATCAAAATGCCTTAATCAAAATGCACTGAACAAATCACAGATGAATCTTAGAAACATAACGTTTAGTTTACAAAAGCACACTGTAGCATACACTATGAGTGGGGTGACCACATTACCTGATCTGCCCAGGACCTTCTGGTTTATGCTGCTGTCCTACTGTAATTGTTAACAGAAGCCCTTTGCATGCACAGAAGTGTCTCAACTTGGATGATAAATTAGTCATTCCAAATATAATACATTTCTGTAAAGCTAAAAACTAAATAAAACTAACAATACATACTCTATGAATGTTTGTAATAAAATTCTTACCAAAAAAACCCCCAAATACCAAAAAACCAAAAGAAAAAATTTTTTTAAAAGGTTCAAAGGATATTTGAAGTGAGGGGGAGGTATAGAGCTTGAGATCAGGAAGGAATAAACAGGTAGATACTACAATTCTTAAACCAGATGGTGAATTCATGACTATTCATTTGATAGCTATGTTTCATAATTAGTGTGCTATATATGTTCTTTTATTTAGAGACAGGTATGTGTAACATTCTAAACATTCCACAATACACTTTTTTTTTAAATATATGAGGTGAAATTTTAAAAAGCACTGAAACTAACACCCATGATTTTGGAAAGATAGAATAAATGATCTGGTTTGGTGATAAAGGAAAGCTAGCTGCGTAGTAGACCTGAATGGATGAAGTTTGTAAGAAATCTGGATGAGGATGAAGTAACGGACAAATAAACAGCCAAATAAATAAACAACCTCAAGAACATAAAAAGGAAGCAGAAGAGAGAGATGATGCATAACTGAAAGAACTGAACCAGCATAGGGACTCCTTGTATCAAACAGAAGGCATCAGTTTGTATCAGTAAGAATGCCTCAGCACGCCCTGGAAGTACCCACTGTCTGCATGTGATCAGACACTGGCAAGTACAGACTGTAGAAATGTTCTAGAAAATAAATGCTGTGGCAAGTATCAAAAACACACAAATGTAAGATCAATCCTCATCAACGATCTCACTTTCGTGGCACTCATCAACAGAAAATCTGATGTAACAGGATCATTATAAAACATACGCTAAGAGGATACATAATATCCTGCTTCTGGAAGAAGTTAGGTAAACATGCAAATTGAAAATAAAGTAATTGGTCGTTTTATGAAAAGAGAAGTTATATTCACCTGTTGAATATCGTTAGGAGCTGGGACTCTTGTATGCCTTGCTGAGAATTCAGTTATACTCTTAATAGGTGGTCACTAGGTTTTTAGATAGTAAAGCAATTAAATGTGAGGTGCTGCTGATGAACGTGAGATCTGTCTTTATCACGAAGCAAAACGATAATTATCAGGAAAGTAAATACCTGGGATACTTGCAGGAGAGATTGGGCCAGATCGAGACTGGTTGCTTCCTACAGGAGAGCCGACAGGAGAGGGAGACGGGCCCCCTGGGATGCTGGAGAGATGAGGGGATGCATGTGGGGAGAAAGGTGACTGCGCCGGGTTGCTCTGATCCCCTTGGCTGCTCGTGGACCCGGATGCGCTGACTGCTGAGCTCAAAGTTGCTTCTGTTCCCGTGGGGAGGTCATCAATGGAGCCAGACAGATCCTAAGAAAGGAAAAGATGTATTTATAGAGTGACCTTTGGATATGAATATCTCATCAAAAGATGACTTGGAAATCACAATGATGTGCCCTTCATAGATGAAGGTTTTCTGGGTAACACCCAAAATTCAAACCATGGCCACTTTCTATTAGAAGATTTTAATGAGGTCGTTTGTCAGTTGAACCAATAAGATCTTGCCTCTCTCCTAAATATGAGTAAGGTTGTACTCCTTGATGAAACCATCCTTATACAGTTTGCCCTTCAGCTGTCAGTACTGAGCCCATTAGATCTGTTCAAAGTGCCACACAAGACAGACAGCACTCTGCCTGGTGCCTTACCACAGGAATGGAATGCCTGGTTCTTCAATGATTACTTCATAAAGTAAAAAAAACCATAGGCTTTGAGTCCTTTTATTGAGAATTTGACATTGGTGGACTACTTGAATTTCAAACTAGGGTATGCTAATGTAATAGCAGTCACAATTTTGACCAAACTTTGTGATGATAAATTCTTTTTTTTGAGATGAAGTCTCATTCTTGTCGCCCAGGCTGGAGTGAAGTGGCGTAATCTCAGCTCACTGCAACCTCTGCCTCCCAGGTTCAAGTGATTCTCCTGCCTAGACTCTTGGGTAGGTGGAATTACAGGCGCTTGCCACCATGCCCAGCAAATTTTTGTATTTTTAAGAGAGATGGGGTTTCACCATGTTGGCCAGGCTGGTCTTGAACTCCTGACCTCAGGCGATCTGCCTGCCTCAGCTTCCCAGAGTGCTGGGATTACAGTTGAGAGCCACCATGCCCAGCTGATAAATTCTTACATCTTAAGTAACTATAAAGTGCCATTAAAAGAAAACAGTAATGTGTGTATTTATATATGATACTGGGAAAATAAATCTCTTTGAAGTTATGTTGGCATAAATGAGTCCTAATGTCATACCTTTCTTTTTAATGCCGATTTTACGCTGTCAATGACATTTATATTTTATCATCATACTCTCTGAGGCAGTGATTAAAATCCCCAATTGATACAGTTACAAAAAAAAAATGGAAGCTCAGAGAGTGCAAGTTACTGTTGAAGGTTACTTTACTGAGGACAGACTGCAGGTGCTAAAGAGGAAAAGGGGATGATGAGAGAGAAAGAGAAAGAAATGGTCTTCTGCTCCCTCAGCAGAAGGGACGCAGACAGAGGTTTCACTTCAGCCTGCATCACTGGTGTGCCCCCGCCATGGCTCCCACAGAAGCCCCCATCAGCAGGTGCTCAGTGCATCCCCACTGCAATGCCTGGACTCCCAGATCACCGACCGAGCGAGGTGCTGAATGAGGTCTCAAGGCTGAGTTACAGCATAAAAGATACCTCTCCTTATTATTGAAGACTACATCCTACAGAATGGAATCAGAACTATCTGGTCACAAGGCATCTTCAATCCTAATAGATCTCCTCCCCCTCTAAATTTTATTAATGTTTAATTTTATCTCACTGCTTACAACTGGGACTTCTGAGACTAGGGCTTTAGAATCTGGTAGAGGAAGATGCTAAGATTCTAAGAGTAAACCTAGACCAGAAAGTATGAAAAAAAGCAAGGGAAAGCAGAGCCAGTTATAGCTCTTCAGGGTAGCCTGCAGTGTCACAAAGCAAACTTAGGATGAGGATCCTAGTACCCTGGATAGTTTCGTTTATCTACTGATCATCTGTTATAGCATATAATTAACTTCTCTTTAAAAAAAATTCTAAAGTATAGCTGATAGAAACTAATCAAAAAGAGAAATGCTTTGGAAAAACAAAATGTCTTCTGCACTAAGAAAAATAACATATATCATTCCACAAAATCTTCAATGACCAATGACTGTGCTTATAAGAAATAACGTAATAGGAACAGAACAGACTAAAAACAGCACCCCTAGAAAAAGTTCACCAAATCTCCAAAATAGAGGCCTGGTATGGTGGCGCAGCCTGTAGTCCCAGCTACTCAGGAGGCTGAGGCAGGAGGGTTATTTGAGCCCAGGAGTTCAAGGCTACAGTGAGCTTCAAGTGTACTTGTGAGCAGACACTGCACTCCAGCCTACGTGACACAGTGAGACCCCGTCTCAGAAAAAAATCCAAAATAAAATTAAGTAAATTCAATCCATTTCAGAATTCAAAGATATATAAACATTTACGCTAATCCTTATGATTAGCAAAAAAAGTTAAGAGCACACGAGATGCATGACTTTGTACAAACTCAGCTGGTAAAAGTTTCTATTTAACTTGACTACTGGGCTCAGCAACAGATGTCTTGACAGAGACCACGGGGTCTGCAAAGTAGAAAATATTTACTCTCTGGCCCTTAAGGGAAAAAGTTTGCTGGCCCCTGATTTAAAGAAACACGTGTACTCATACCGTCTCTACTGCCTTTGCCTATCCCTTGGAGGAAAACAGGAATGAAGACAGGTCTCAGCTGAACTGCACAGTAACTGCACCATACACCATGACTGGTACAAACTTTAACGGAACAGGAACTTACTCCATTACTACGTCCCCCTGAAAAACACCGAGTGACAACTACATATAATCTTACTCTTTCTGAAGGGAGCATGAAAACCCAGGATGGGTGATGGCCTCCAATCTGGGCTCTGACAGTACCCACCAAACACTGATGACTAAGAAACAAGGGGTGGTCAGACAACAGTCAGCTGGCAGGAAATCCGCTTTCCATGTTTCTTTAAAGAAAAAAAAATCTGGTAGATAACCAGATACAAAATCCCACACTATATATGAAGTTAAAACATAGGAAGGACAAATCAGATTGAATTTTTGAAAAATCATCTATTGTAGTTAAATAATTTTATGCAAATCTCTCATCATAAAAACCGAAATGTTACTTTGAAGTTCTTGTAATTCTCTGCACAACCTACAAGTTCCATCCCGGTTCTCCCTTAAAATTCCATATTATGGTTGAAAAAGTGACAGGGATGGGTGTTAAGAGAGCTTCACTCAAGCTGCAAAGGCATCAAAAACATTTCTGTTATTCAACAAGCTGATCAAGGAAGTATCAAGAGAAAAATATAAAAACGGCAGCATTCTTCGTGTTCACGTGTCATCAGAATTTCAGTGCTGACTAGACCTCAGTGTAACAGAAGGGTAATAAAAAGATATAATTATATTACCGTTACACGCTCACGCAACTTTTATATGTAAATTATGCCGACATATTTCCGCCCTGCAGATAGTTACGGTATCTGTATGTAGAGCTATCCTAAAACATGCTAATAAAAGAAGTTCAACAGTGGTTTAAGTATTCAGCCTAGTTAACAAAGAAGCTCTGTAACTAATACTCCTCTAGAGGACAATTTAGTCAGCAGGGCACCAACTCTATTCTTCTTTTGTAAGTACTATCAGATCTATGATGCCTGTAAAGAACAGAGAGGCCTTACTGCATCTCATTCTAACCAAGGCACCTTCAAGCTACAGTGCTTCCATTTATCTTGCTGGAAAGCTGGCAGGTAAGGTAATTGCAGGCAGTCTCTTTTAAGGGGCTAGAGTCCCCCTGCCCCGTGGCATTCCTTAAATCAGTCCTCCTTTTTTGATGGGGTGACTGGTAAGGCAATGACTTCATGGGCTCTCATGGATAGTAAAATCACTATTTTGCTATCATAATGTGATTTGGTGAAATCTTGCTATTAAGTTGGGTTTTCAGTACCTGACAACACTCAGAATACTGAATACTCTCTGGCACACTGAAAATAACTTAACTCCTACTATCAATGATTAATTTTTTAAAATCCTTGCCTTCAAAACCAAAACCACAAAGCTGTTTAACTTTAAAGCTTAATTTAAATGACAATTCCCTGCAATGACTCTCCCTCTATAACCATCATCCTTCCCTGATCTCTGACCATGTAAAATTTTCATTCTAACCCCAGTGACAAGTGCAAGAGATTTTACTGTGCTTACAATGAAATGCCACCCAAAGCAGTAACAATCTTATCAGACTTTGACAAGAGAAACAGTCACAAATTAACACACAGCACAAATATGTTCGGATTCTCTATGCTGGGGCAGGCTCGGGGAGGGTAGCGTCAGAAGGAATGAAGATGGGACATCAAAGAAGATGCACGGGAAGGACTTTTAAAGATATGAAGATAAATGAAATAGACATTAAGTATAAAGACTCTCTCGTGCCTACACACTGTGTATGATCCATGTGAATAAAAATATTTCACATGACTACATTCTGACTCACTACATATCAAAAGACATCTTTGGTTTTGATGGTGTTCAATGTAGCATAAGTTAGCTCACCAAAGGATAAATTCAGTCAATACTGGGAGTTTTACTTTCTCAAAGAACTGGGAATAAGTAAGGAAATTTTACTCCCTTGCTTAATTAAATAAGTGGGTTTTTTAAAAAGCAAAGGAACTTCAAAATACTCTAAGCTATGGTTCTCAATACAATTAGCTGGTGGCATTAGATCAGCTGCTGATAGAAAGCTGCCAAGCACTGCACACATTTGGGCATCTCTTGCTCAGAAGTGCCCCAGGAGAGCATGAGGATAAACACTGAATCAGAAATAGAGAAGATATTTCAATCAATGAGACCAGTTCAGGTCTCTTGTTTGAGGATTTTAATAGGATACAGTTAATGATTTCTCACTGTGACTTCCCATGGGTTTAAAGCACAGGTTAAAACGCCAGTTCAGTGGTCTTCAAAAAAAGTCTCTTAATTATCTTAAAAAGCAGAAATAGCGTCTCTTCTTTTTAGAATATTAAAATGAAATAAA